CGTTTGTGCAGCTTCCTAGTTCTGCTCCCTCTCTGTCTCTCTCTCTCTCTCTTATCCAAATAATGAGTCAGTCAGAGTCAGAGTCCAGGACCACCTATTTTATATATACACAATATAAACTTATATATGTATATAGTATATAGATTTGGTTCCATGACAAATAATATTGTATTGTTAATGCCAATTTTCCCAATGATGCTCGATATAGAATATTATATTAAATTCCAAAAAATAAAATAAACACGAATCTGGATGCCAACTTTGGTTATTCCAGCTGTTATAGTTTCTGAGATCCTTGCGTTCACCTAGACAGACGGAGGGATAGGTGGAAGGACGTCATGCTGACTCAGAATATAGTTGTACTATATATGTATACTTTATGGGGTCGGAGATGCTTCCTTCTGCATGTTACATACTTTACACAAACCTAATATACCCTTTTTACCTTACGATACAGGGTATTAAAACAACTACATCTAATTCCATGTTGTGTTGAACACGATTTTATGTTTCATAAAAAATCTGCAAAACTATATAAAGATCTCTTAAAAAAGAGAAAAAATTTAAAGTAAAACGACTGCACCTAATCCCATATTTTGTTGAACATAATTTCTTGTTTCATAAAAACTCTCCCGAACTGAGCTCTATTCTTCGATTTACTGAACTCTGGATTGAAAATCTCATGCAAAATGACTTTTCTAACTGAGAGTAAACATATTATCGAAGGATTTAATCTTATTATTAAAAAATAAAAAAAAAATGACTGCGCCTAATCCCATATTTTGTTGAACATAATTTCCCGTTTCATAAAAACTCTCCCGAACTCTGCTCTATTCCTCGATTTACTGAACTCTGGATTGAAAATCTCATGCAAAATGACTTTTCTAACTGAGAGTAAACATATTATCGAAGGATTTAATCTTATTATTAAAAAATAAAACCAAAAAAACTGCACCTAATCCCATATTTCGTTGAACATAATTTCCCGTTTCATAAAAACTCTCCCGAACTGTGCTCTGTTCCTCTATTTACTGAACATTGGCCCCTATGCTATAAAGAAACCTTGCTGTTCAAGCGCGAAATTTTGCATAAACATAACAAATAGAGAGCAGGGGTAGACGAAAGAGAGAGAGTGGGAGTGTGGAGTGAGGGGTGGAGCTCCAGCTAAAGCGGACTGCTTGCTATTGCTTTTGCTGGCACCTTTTGATACCCTTTTTGTCTGACTTATTTTGGGTCGTCTATTATTTGTTGCTTTGTTGATGCTGATGCCTAGCCCAGGCTGGCCCGCTTTGTTGTTGCTGTTGCTGCTGCTGTTGTTGTTGTTGTTATCGCACAAAGGCCCTAAATGCGCGTCTATTTTGTTACAATTTAAGACGCTTATTAGAAATCGTTTGCAAATTGTTTAGCAAGAAAGCTAAGCAACAACAAAAGCAACAACAACAAAAATAGCACGGCACGAATATCGCAAAACTAACGGCTTCGAGCAGTTGTTGTTGCTGCTGCTGTTGTTGCTATTACTGCTGTTGTTGTTGCTGCTGGCTGGCTGGCATCGCAGGTAACATGAGCGCACGTTGCCGGAGTGGCCGCAGTTGGCGTTGCCACGATATGCGTGCATATTAATTTCGTATATTTACGTTGGCTTGCTTTTCATTTTTAGCCTTTTTTCTGTAGTAGGTTTTCCGCTGGCTGCTCCACACGTGAGTTTTGACTTGTTGCTGCTGCCATGGCAGTAGTTGTTGTTGCTGCCGCTGCTGATGATCTAATTTGGCAACAATTGTCGTCGTCGTTTGAGTCGTTGAGTTCGTGCACGGTTTGTTTACCTTTTGGGTCTTTGGGCTGCACTTTTGGGCTGGAAAACTTAAAGGCGCGCACATCCACACACACACACACACACACACTCGTACTCGTATGTGGCCTGCGATCAATTGATCTCGATAATGAGTTTTATAGCAACGTGTTGTGTGGAAGAACGCACCCATATTTCCAATACTTATACACTACAACTACATACATAGTTACCCATCGACTGTCGCTAGCGTCTGTCGTTTGATTTCTCTTTCCGCATCGCTGACTCGATCCGTGGGCTTTTCACAATATCTGCGTATCTGTATTTGCGTTGATCTTTTTCATTAAAATGGGTTTTTTCTTCTTCTTCTTCTTTTATTTCTCGTTAATAAGACTTTGATGGCGCTCGTCTGCGAATCCATTGAACCGTTTGTTATGCCTTGATTTAGTGACTGCCATTTTGTGCCGCCGCCTCGCATTTTGTACGCTTCGCTACGTGCACAGAAATTTAAATATAATTTATGAGCACAGCGCACATTGGTATTACAAACACCAACACCAACAACAACAGCAAAGCGATAAAATAGAGTCTATACTTGTAGCTTTTGGGTAGGCAATCAAATGTCCCGATTCCCCGATTGACTTTTGCGCAAAGCGTTTTGTTTATTTGTTTGATTTGCCAAAAGCTCTGACCCAAAATTGTTGTAGTACTTCACAGCTCGTAATGGGAATTAATTCCAATCAGCTCCAAGTGGTTTATATTCGATGGCACTGCAGAGTGAATATTTTACTTTTCCTATACTGTCTCACAGATGCTTCAATATTGTCATATTTAGTTTCACAGAAAATTGAGATTTAGTTACTGAACCATAAAATTCTTGTGTTTGCTATGAGGTCATTGTGGAAAAATTGCAATGAATTAGTGCCATGATAGTTCAGTTTTAGTCTATCCAGAGTAAGAGTAGAGTAGAGTAAATGAAGAAATAAAGATGTATTCCCAATTTCTCTTCACTTATTATCGCTCGCTCTTCACACACTCCGTGATGTTAGTTTGAGTTGAAATTTCAAAATTTTACCATTCCAATAGAACAAATTACTAAATTTCGATTTACTTTTTAAGCTAGAGAGAGAGAGAGAGAGAGTCATGCACTTGAATAGGGACAAGATTTTCTATTGTATTGTATTGTGGTTTTCTCTTTTTGGCAAAGGGCTGCCATCAAATGCTTTGGTGTTTCACTTAGAATGCAGTATCAGGGAACTTTACAAATTTACAGTTGGCTTTTAATAATTAACTGTTAAGCATTATCACTGCAAACTAATTAAAAAATGAGCTTGAAGTTTTATTGGTTTTCCATGTGAAAAGCTATCGGGGCTTAAATCTTATTTACACAATTCCACAGATTGCCTTCTGAGCCTTCTTGACTGTGATTGCGAGCGTCAATCGAATTGGAAATCGCACTCTTTTGAATTGAACGGGCATGCCGATCGGGTTTTAGAAAATTCAAAGGAAGAGCCCATCCTCACCTTTTTAAGGTCCCATCAGGATTGGTGCTTCCACTATGTTGCTCGTCCATTTTTTTCATTTTACATCAGACATTAAATTGTTAAATTGATTTTAATTTCCGTATCTTTGAAATTTATATTTTGTATTGCGTTGTAATTTTAAAATTAATTTCCGAATTTTCAGTTTATTGTTGCTGCCATTTAGGTATTTGAAAACCAACATCTACAGCTATGCTCTGAAGATCCAATATGGAAAGCAAACAAACAGAAAATCAGACGATTTTCAACTGCCCAGCGCAATGATCCAAGAACAACAAGCCAGATCCTTAGAAAGTACACTGTTGTCTGTAAGCCAATAGGCTTGAGAACTGTTTTCTTTTATTAAAAAACCAGTTACAACTTAAAAGTGTTTATTTTTGTTCAAATTAGGGTGAGCATTTCAAAATGAACCTATCCGAACTAAGCCCAATTTAAATGCAGTTTGAAAAGCATTGCTTTGTCGAATTTGATTTGATAATATCCATCAGTATAGGCAAACCAATTATAATTATTACTATGAATGCAAAATAGTTATCATCGTCAGTGTACGAACTGAATATCGTTACTGCGCTAATTCTCGCATTAAAAGGATCATTTTTACTCTCACTTAAAGAGTGTTGAGACAAATCATTCGATATAAGGTTGCTTCTTAGTGCAATTTTTTGTCAATAAATATGCACTTTCCTTTGATCTTCGTTTTCCCAAAAGTATATAAATAAAAGCATTAAAGTCCCAAAAAAGCATAACCATACAAATTATGAATTTGATAAAAAAAAGACAATGCCTAAGTTTTTTGTATGTATTGAATTGCTTTTTGCTGAAATAAAAAATCGATGAAAAGTCAATTGTTTCCGTGTAAATAAAAAAATATATTTTCTTCAGTTGTTGTTTTTTTTCTTCGCTTGCAATAAATTACTTAAAATTATAAAACATTGTTTTTATCAAAATCTTAAGTTCTTCTTTCCATATTAGAACATTTTCAATGTATGCACAAATTTGATCAAAAATTTTATCAAAAATATATATGTATATATATATATATATATATATATATATATATGTCTATGTTATGTATATATAGAGCTATGTCTACAGCTAGGCTAAATGCTAAAAAATACGTATGTATTCTCCATATAGTACATATAGTTACAGTTTATGCAAAGATTGTCTGCCGTTTCTTATAGCTAGAACTTAATTGATTATGTACAGGACACTGTGTAGAAATACTGTACAAACTTTAGTTTAGGATTCGTTTTTAGACACACGATGAGAAAATGATAATTTAACAAAATGAAAAGCAAACCAAAAAATAAAATAAAGTGTTTTTCGAAAATGTTTTGTTTTCTCTTGCAAAGAAAATGCTGACTAGAAAATAAAAATGTATTTTTCAAAAGAACTAAAAATGCGAAACTAGAATAATTCAATTAATCATAATTAAATGCGTGTGTGTACTTTTTGTGGCACTGTGCACTGGGTTTGAGAGAAATGTTTTCTTATGTACATACTTATATAGTATGTACTCGTATGTGTGTGTGTGTGTGTGTCTGTTTGGGAACATTTTGGGGAGTTTGCCAGCCGCGCGCTTTGCTGCGGTTTTTAACTCGAAACTAGGAACTAATATTTGGTGGTACATGGCTTGAAGTTGATGATAACGAAGAGCCATCGCCTCGAATCTAGGGCTCGGCATAGCCGCCATAGGACAGCTCAGTGGCTCCAGCGGCAGCGCTTGGCGAGCCGCTCGTCGCACCACCTGCACCGCCGCAGCCACCCTCCGAGTGCTTCGTCAGCAGGGACATGCGCGAAAAGGTCTTGGAGCAGTTGCTGCACGAATACTTCTTGATGTCCGAGTGGGTCTGGAGATGGGCGCGCAAGTTGGAGCGATCGGCGAAGGCGCGATGGCAATGCTGGCAGCTGAAGGGTTTCTCGCCCGTGTGGGTGCGAATGTGGCCCTGCAGGAGCCAGGGTCGCGAGAAAGCCTTGCCACAGATGTTGCACCTGCACGGCAGCGTATGGGTGCGGATGTGCATCTTCAGGGCGCCCAGCGAGACGTACGTCTTGTCGCAGTCCTTGCAGCTGAAGGATTTCTTTACCTGATTGCCCTCGGCGGCGGGACAGTGGAACTGCTGATGTTTGGTCAGGCCGGAGAAGGTGGAATACGACTTCTGGCAGTCGGGGCATTGGTAGCGAGGCGGCGATGATTTGTCCTTTTTGCCCGCACTGGCGATGGAAGCGGCAGCGACGTTGGAAGCAGCAGCCACTGTGGAGCTGCTGGATTTGCTGCCGGAGCTGCAGGGAGTGGTGGCAGCACTGGGGTCTAGGACCATTTTGGAGACAGGCTTGTGCTTCAGCGAGAGATCCTCCGGCACGGAGGAGCAGCTAGACTCGGGCGTCATGGAGCGCATCGAGTAGTACGAGGATTCGGAGTAAGCAGGCGAAATGGGCGCATGATGATGGTGCGGATAGGCGAGTGTGGGATACGCCGCGACCGAACTCTGAAGGTGCTGCTGCTGTGGCCGCTGCTGGTGTAGGTGGTGAGGTGGTTGCTGCTGCGGTTGTTGTTGTTGTTGCTGGTGGTGGTGGTGGTGGTAGGCCGCAGCTGACACGGAGTACGGCATAAAACGATGCTGGCGCATGCCAATCGGACGATGTATAATCTCCGAGCGCATCGGCGGCGACACTGAACTGGCACGTCCGTGCATATAATGATGTGGTGGCGGCGACATCGATCCCAGCGAGTCCGAGGGAGAGCTGGGCGAGAGCAGCTCACCGCGCAGTGGCGAGATCTGTTGTTGTTGCGCGGCCACGGCGGCCAAGTGCGGATTATTGAGGGTGCGATAGAATTCAGCAGTGTAGGGCGACATGTGGAAGTTCCAGGGCTGCAGGCCGTACTTAGGATATGTGGGAGTGGGCACAACCACAGCTGTGGCTGCGGCCGCCGAAGCAGCAGCCACCGCAGCAGCGGCTGCCAAGGCAGCTGCCTGTGTCTGATTGCTTTGGCCCGGCTCGGAGGACTCGATGTCCACACAATCGACAGTTACATCATCGTCCTCGTCATCCTCCATAAGAGCGTCCTCGTCGTCTGTGTGATCGACGTCGACGCCCTCATCCTCGCAGCAATCACTCACATTGATCATCTCCTCGGAGGAAACGGCCACTTCAGAGCTGGGCACTGGCGCGGATTTTGCTTCATTGTTCAACGATTTTTTCAGACACAAATCCTCGGGCTCATTAGTCTCAGTACCGATGGTGTTGTTGTTATTGCTGTGTGGCGCCTCGAAATGATAGTTCACCGGGCGCTTCTTCAAAGGACATTTGCTGTAGTTCTTTTCTACCAGCATATGCTCCACGGTATGCATTTTGTTGCTTTTATTTGTCGTATGGCGGTTTAAGTCAATTTCACAAATTCGTATTAATATTGAAATATTTCAATTGTAGTTAGTCTGTCTGTGTGATTTAGACAAGCACGTGCACTTTGTTTAACAACGTCTCAACATATTCCGCTTTGTTGGCGCGCAAAGCATTCAAAACGGATTTTCTTTAAAGAGCGAAGCGCGTTTGTTGCTAAGCAAGCGAGCAGTTAACGAAAGCGAAGGCAGCAAAGAACTGAAGCAGACCCGCGTTGGGTTCGGCTTTTTATAAGTGTCCGTGTTCGTGTTGAGCGCAGAGCGCAACCAAAGAGAGTGAGAGAGTCAAGTAAGCGCGGCGCTCTCAGCGCTTGCCAAGCAAGCATCAGCATCCCTTTACGTGCTTGTGCAGGTAGGCGTCTGTGTGTGTGTGTGAGTGTGTTTATGTGTGTTTCTGAACGATGGCACTGCGCACCAATCGCAGCGGAGGCACGAAACCTGTTTCGGCTTGTTTATATACCGCCGACTCACGTGCCGAGCGTGTACACTTGCACCAATCGCCGCCACACGCAACACAAGCACAACAAACGGCCAATGTTTCCCGTTATAATTGCGTTGGTGTGAAGAATAAAACGGGCGCCGGTCGTCGTTTGCGTGTGTGTGTGCATGGGCGCTCTTAAGCATGTCGCTCTTTAATGCTCACCATTCTGATCTTTGACGCTCTTGAAACACAAACGCCCCTCTCTTTCGAAGTCTGTAATTGTAAGCATAGTTTCTGCCGCATCGCGCCAATTATTGAAATTGGTCATTACCTCGTTGGGAGTTATGGTTTTATGCAAAACTTTTGGGTAACACTCCTGCAGCTATGTACCTTCTGATCGGAAGGTAGTTGCTACCTATGTTTGCACATTTCGTGAATTAGCAAATATCATGACAACAACATCATAAAGCTGTGGTCTGCCCATCAGGTGCGCTCCTCACCTGACAATTCGACCTGTCATTTTTAGGGCCATAAAATCAAACCCTAACACGTGCTGTTATTGCCAACTGACTTAGAAACACGAGATGGCCAACACAGGTAGCAGCATTTTCAGGAAGATATTTATGTATTTGTATTGTTCCCAACAAATAATAATCAATAGTTGTTGCAGAAAACTGTATGCATGTTGATGTATGATGAAACAGGTATTTTCCGATTCATCTTCGATCAGCAGTGTTGTCTGAAATATAACCTTTAGCAGCAACAGCAATTTGTGTGTTCCAAGCTAAAACAATGCAATGTTTTTTTTAATTCAGTACACTCAAAACTCTTCATTCTGTTTTAGAAGACTATAGTTTCCAACAATTCTCAAAAAATACAAATTTCAAATTCTAGAGTTAAAATGTATAATATACCACCAACACTAATCCAAGCAAGATGCATAAGTACATAGATGTTACCAATCAGATATGTACTCTATTTTAATATTAGTACTATTTTATTGTGCATTTAAAAAATTAAATTTTAATGTTGTTCTTTTCAAAGTGAATTAAAATAAATTAATTCAAAAAATAACAATTCATCATGGGTTGACCAATCTCTGTAGCTTTTTTCATAAATGTTTTTAAACAAGTACTGTCTGGATTTAAATAGAATGTCAATATAATTTGAAATTTTAATTTTGTTTTTTCCAAAGTTAATAAACTGAAGAGAAAATTTTTAAAGTAAGGCTTAGAAATAAATGAAATCGAAAATTAACAATTCATCATCGGTTCAGTGCTTGGACCAATCGCTTTAGCTTGTTTTCGTTAATATTTTCAAACTAGTACTGTCTGGATTTAAATAGAATGTCGATAAAAATTGAAATTTTAATTTTGTTCTTTTCAAAGTTTATAAACATAAAGTAAGGCTTAAAAATAAATTAAATCGAAAAATAAATATTCATCATAGGTTCAGTGCTTGGACCAATCTCTTTAGCTTCTTTTCATTAATGTTTTCAAACAAGTACTGTCCGCTCTTTAAAATGCGCTCTCTTACGTTGCTCTGAAATGTTCGCTCTCGCGGTGCGTGCGTTCCAATTCCATTCAGTTTCGTTAAGTGCGCACTTTTAAACCACATTTTATGCACATCTTTTCTTCAGTTTTCAGTTAAGTGGCTGTTGATTGAAAGCGAACTCACACACACGCCAAGCCTTGACTATGAGCCTAAATTTAGATAAAGATGCACCTACACTCGAAGCGTGCATTGTGCCACACGCATAGTTGGTCGGCGCATGCGCAACTCCACATGGCAACCAATTAAAAAACGTGTTACTTCAAGTACCGCCAGCAGCTCTAAGTGCAGCTGTCGTGTAGCAATTGAAAAATGAAAAATAAAAACAAAAACAAAGCCAACAAACAACGGAGCACATAAAATGAAAGTGTTTGCCGTCAGATAAAGAGGTGTTGCTATTGATGTGCAGGCGCATAAATCATATAGCCACTATAAAGCGATTGATGCAAACAGATAGATATACATACATATGTACATACATATATACGAAGATAATAAAAACCTGTGCCAATTACATTTGAAACCTTTGTGCACTTCCCAGTAACCCGCACAACTAATCACAACAAAACCAGAATCTAGATGAGCCCTCACCACTGACCATTTAACTTAATTAGCCCGACTATCGGAGCGAGCGAGGGTTTGCTTGTTTAGATGGCCACTGCTGTGCAGTTTCTCAGGAAGCGATCCCAACTGTGGCAGCAAGTGCGATCTTTGCGCGATTGTGCGCGCAGTTGGCCCAAATTCGAGTTCTTGGTGCAAGCCACAGGAACCACCAGCATAAATTAATAGATAAACATGTGCACCACAGGCTCACTCGTTGCTGCCACATCGCTTGCCAGCCAGCCAGCCTGCCTGCCTGCCTGCCCGCTTGCTTCAAACAGCTTCGCAACGTTCTCCGATTTACATGCCCAGGCCATAGCCATAGAGCACTTGGGCCTCTTATCTTATCGTCGTCTGGTGTGTTTATGCCTGCTTCAGCTCTTGGTCTAATGCCCATCGCCTTGTTTAGATGTCTGCATGTATGTTCGCCTAAGTGTGTGTGTGTGTGTGTGTGTGGCTGTCTCATGCTGGCCCACATCATGGCCAGCCGATAGGCTGTTAACAAAGATTTAATGATCTTGTTAACTAATTTTTTTCCTGAGCTTTACTGGGCCGGAGCATCAACAGACTTTAGCAGGACCACCCACAGCTGAGCGCACTCTGCAAGTTAATTAGTTCGCTTTGTGGTCCAGGCCTTAAATCATCAGCAATTGGTAGGTTGGTTGACACATTTGTGTGGCCGGCAATCCTAGAAATGAAATGGACTAGAAGCCACAAAAACTATGCAACGCAATTGGAAGCAAAGGAGGCAGCGAAAGCGTAAATGAAAGAGACTTTTTCGTGGCGAATCGTGTTAAGTAGAACTGGAACTGGAAAATGCTTTCCCTATCAATTAAATAGAACCGCACCTAATAAACAGAATTGTCGAATTTAAAAAAAATTAAATTATAATAAACAAATTAAAGGAATATTAATATATTAAAAGCATGCGACATCTGACAAATATCCAAATACTAAAAAAATACTTGCCTTACAATGAAACAGAGATGGATTTATAAAAGTTTTTTTATTGATCATAAGCTATTATTAAAACTCATCGTGCATTATTTAATAAAAAATGGAAAAGGCTGCGTACATCCTTCAATACAGCCTTTACTCAAATTTTGGGGCTTTTGTATTGAGACCTTTCAGCCTTAAAATAATATTATTTCCATCTTCAACTTAGTTTCCTTAAAATGATAATGTCTGGCTTTAGGATTTGACTTAACTTCGCCTTAACTTCTTATTAGTCTCTCCCAACTTTTTTCAATTTGTTTAACATTTCACTAAATTTTTTAAACAACGATGATCCAATAATATAAAATAGACAATGAGCCTCATTTTACAAGTAGTTCCAATTCTAAAGAAGTAGCAACGATACGGTACGAAAGCCAGAACTTTGAAAATAAACAAACAACATACTTTGAGCATTTAAAGAAAAGGCCTTGGCAACTAGGTCTGTTCTGGATATCTGTTATTGAGCGGGGCTCTTTCCCCATGGACTTTTATACCAAAACACCTAACACAACTTTCCCAAGCTCTTCACTCCAACTTACAATATCAACTGAACATTTCGTTAAGGTGAACAAATTAATTTATGGCAGTTTCTCATCCAAATTCACGTTTAAGCGTGTCGAAATCTGTTTTAAGTTTACTTACATTTATAAGGTTATATTTAGGTTCAGTGTCTTGAGGTCTACCCATGTCGCAGTTACCCTTCTTAGTTGGCTTTTTGGCATTGCTGACCAGTGTTTTGGCAGATGATGACGTGTTGGGTAGTTCCCGGGTGTTTGTGAAATATCATCCAACAGGCTTCACAGGCTTTCGCAGCGCCTTCCAGTGGACGTTCGGCGTTGAAGACTTCAATGAAGGATTCTTCAATTTCATCAAGTTCGAGACAGACGAAGCGGGCGGCTACGCAGGACTGATAACCGATGACAATAGCGAAAACTGTCAAGTGCATTTTTCTGTAAAGTTCGCGAAGAGGGCTGAGGCAGCCAGTGGATTTAACTGCACCGAATATTCGGTAAGGGAGGACGAATATGGGTATAAGTGTTATCAGGACAATTTTGATTTTGAAAACAATGCCGTGTACTTTATCGATGTGGAGATAAGTGGATCAGTTTTTAAAGCCTACATTTCGTATGCTTACGAGAATCTACACTTCCTGAACAGAACTGACATGCCACGAATCCATATTGGCGACATCCATTGGTCGGATGAGCTCCACAATCTGATTCCTGTTGCCTACTACAACCACAACTATGTGGGCCAGAGTTCCTGCCATCGAGCCTACGAGCTGGTGACGGTCAACTATGCGCCCGTACAGTACAATGGCTATCGTCGTTTAAATGCTTGGGTCGACGGGATTGAGCATCGCAACAAAAAATGTCCGACAGAACAGATAATGGTCGCTATAACCCCCGACCATCAGTCAACAGTCTACTTTAGTAGAGCACGGATACACACTGGCATGCCTAAGTAAATTTGTAATTATGCACTTAATTTAAATTAGTTCTACATCTGAAGATAAACTTAGACAAGTGAAATAAATAAATAATGCTACATATTTTCTCATTGATAAAAACAAATACACGTAAATTTAAAAAGTTCAATTTCAGCTTTAATAATATATAATATAATATTAAAATATTAAATTTAAAGTGTGACGATATTAAATCACAAGTGATGATGTGGACAAGGGTTTGATTCACGTAATTTTTAGAATTATATTTCCCCCTTTTTTTGTCTATTCTACTGTATTTAACCTTTTCAAAATGACATTTCCATATTGCATATTTTTATATGTATTTTGTATAGAACCATTCTTAAAAGAAAGTAAACACAACCGCTGTAAACTGACTTGAGTATTATAGTCAATGTTTGTCTCTTTGTTACATTTAAGAAAATTCGATTTAAATATTTAAAATATTAAAATTTAATATATTTCTAGTAAATTTAAATCGACTACAAAAAACTTCAAATTTAAGGTTGAGAAAAATATTAAAAATTACTTGTATATTATATTTAATTTTAATATGCAAATAACAAATAGTTAAATTTTAAACTTTAAATTTAAGATTTACACTTTGTTTTGAATATTATTCATATTTAAACCAAAAATTGAACATGTTTTTATTAAAGTGTACTTTGTGTATATTTGATTTAAATATGAAATAAGTAGACTATTAAATTGAATTTGAAAATATTCATTTTTACTATGCCACTTTTTTTTTGAGTGTAGGTAAGTGCCACTTCCTCTTCAGATGTATGACAATCGATTCATCGCATATATTAGCTGTGACTAATATTATGTAAGCGTCGCTTACCAACGCCATTAAATAGCTTCCAAAAGTAGCTTTTCAGATCAGTTTAGTGGAATCATGTGGGTTACTAGTCAGTCAGTGGTTAAAACGTTTTATCTATTCGGATGGTTGGCCCTGCTTGGTAACGTCGCCTGCGTTCACAAACATAAGGGAAGGACCAGTGTTCTGGGCCATGCCGAGGCAATAGTAAGCCATTTCAGAGACGGCTACGATGGCTTCCGCGGCTATTTCCAGTTGCTGATCGGACCGGAATACAAGAATGAGAAAATCTTCAATCTATTATACTTTCGCACCGACGAAGTTTTCGGATACGTTGGACTCCTCAATTATAACAACAGTCGAGTTTTCGACGCTCATTTCTCCGTGTGGAACGTAAATTCGGCAACGCCTGGCAAAGGATTTGGATGTGTGGAGTTTAACAATGGGGACGCGGACCGGGGCTATAAGTGTGTCAAAGAAAGCTTCCCATTGATACGTAATCACATCTACTTCGTGGACGTGGAAATCACCGAATCGTCTATTCGAGCATATATAACATCGGGATTTGAGAGCTTGGAAAGTAGGGAAAGCTTCCATATCCAGCGCAGACTAATTGGTAGCATGTCCTACTGCAAGGGGATGCAAAATTTGCGGCCCCTAGGATATTATGTGCACAACATACGAGACCGCGACTCCTGTGATGTGGCCAACTCATTGGTGGCCGTTAATTTTGCGCCGATGCAGTTTGTCCAAAATGATTTTGTTAAGCACACCACCTTGGGCAACGCACATGTCTTTAACTCAAAGTGCAAGGACCCGTTTGTCCTAATTGCGGTTGCAGAGGACAAAAAGAGCGTCATTTACTTTACGCGTCCATCTTTTGTCTATACTTAGAACTATAAAATAAATCATTTACATTTGTAAAAGTATTCTTTCCAAACTATTCATTTGTTATCAAGCCACTGTTTTAGCCTAGATCTGAATAAAATCAGGAGCCTGGTGTAGCTTAAAGAGCTAGCAGGAATCACACAAATTATCAAAAAATACTTGCATTCTTTATAAGTGTGGAATTTTATAAAAACAAAATGTCAAACTGTCGCCCAAGCTGCAAGCCGATTTGCAACACAATAATTAATAACAAGAGAGAACGCTACAGTCCAGCAAGCCCGACAGCGAAATACCCTGCACCCAGCTAAACATCCGGCATAATAGCAGAGGCAAAAAGAAGAAGAAGACCGAACTTGATGATGCAGTTTGTGGGCATAGTACTGGAGTGAAATTTGTTCGCTAATAACTTTTCTTAGAATTGACCGGTTTCAATGAAATTTAAAACAAAAGTAGATGGTTGTTTGGTTTATGCTGCTTTTAAAATGTGAACAGTATTGACAAAATTGTGCAGAGGGGAAGCAAAACCACTAGGAGTGTCCACATACCAAGTTTGGTTAATGTGCTCTTAACCGTTTCCGAAATACAGGCGTTCATCCAGACAGACGGACCACCCCTTCCCCTTTGGAATAATTTGCTTACGCTCTTGGTGCAAGTGTAAAAAAAATAAAATCGAAACCCCCCTTTGCGTCCAGACCACCATTGTTTGATATGTTTGCTATGCCTGATTTCTGAATATGGGGCCTACACTTTTGTGCTGCTCTAAGAAAGTTATTTCCGGGATGAATAACACCAACATCTTTTTTGGTGTGTATTGTATTCCATTCTAAGACTACCAATTTCTCTATAGTGTATCGCTGCGGTAAACACTGAATGTTTATCGTATTTTCGGAGGCTGCTGTGAAGCCTTGCCTTCAGTCTGCAAAGCTCCATAGAAGGCATGGGGTTTCAAACTCCTTCGGTTTTCTTTAATTCCACGAGTTGTACAGATTTTGCTTAAAAGATTACATTCAATTGCCCCAAAACTAATTGGCTTTTCACAGTTCAGCTTAATAACATTAGCGTAAATTGTTATGACTAATGACAAAAATCTTATATAACCACATAGAGTGCTGGCCTACGATGGACCAGGAAACCAACTCCCCAGAACAGTTGACTAAAATCATGTCGGTGGCAAGTCTATCAAAATTTGAACTGCTCTGCCTCTTCAGCTGTCTGGCTATGATGTGCCACGTCGTCGAGGGTATGAGACCTGGACGCCGATTCCAGAATAGACAAAGACACCTCGGTCATTCGGAAACAAGAATAAATAGTACGACGACTGGCTACAACAGCTTCCGCTCCTTTTTCCAGCTGATGCCCGGAACTTTTGACGTCAACGAATATGTCCTCAATATGGTATATTTTCGTTCGGACCAAGCTTTTGGCCATGTGGGAATAATGAATTACAACCAGAGCCAATCCTATGAAGTAGTGTTTTCCGTTTTTTACGCCAACGAAGGAGCACCTGGCCCAGGATATGATTGCAGCCCGTTTTCCGTTAACGACAAAAACAAGGGGTACAAGTGTTTCAATTCAAAAGCAAACATTGTACGTAATCATATCTACTTTATCGATGTGGAGACGACTGGAGCAACTATTAGGGCATACATATCAGAAGGGCAAGAGAGCTTAAGACGCAAGTCTAGCCCCACGATAAGACGACGTCTCATCGGAGAAATCTGGTATTGTAACGCGCAGACAAATCTTAGACCAACGGGCTACTACAATCATAACATTCGAGATCAGCCTTGCCATGAGACTTACTCGTTGGTTACGGTTAATTGGGCGCCCATACAGTACAATCATACCATGCGGAAGAGATCCACAAAGACCTACTTTACAGAAACGAAGATCTATTCATCGGAGTGTAAAAAAGAAAATTTATTAACTGTTTTGACACACGATAAGCAGACCACTATATATCTATCGCGTCCCATACGAATTTAATAAAGAAAAGATTGTTAAATTGTAAAAATTACAAATATTAAAAAACTTAATCTTAACTAAGAAAGAAAGTCAATAAATAATTTACACAAAAAGTAAAATTTTAACAAAATAAGCCGACTTCAGATCGAATGCTTTTTTATCATTTCAAGTGTTTCGAGTATGATTCTGAAAAGAATTTCCAGCTATTTTAATTAAATGAGGTATGTTTAAGGTAGTTTTCTCATAGATGCCATTGTCAGAACCAAATTCAAATGGGACCATTAGGGAAGCATCAGCTTTCAAATACCAGAAGAATCATTAAAATCGGTTCACCCACTCGAATGTGCTGAGTTCTTCTTTGCAGAACCTATCCTAACTCTCATCAAAGTACCCTTGAGGTACGGCGTTTCCACTAGAATAATTAAATAAATTAAGTTTGTCGTCCACATACTTAATGCAAATTTAAGACTTATACGGTTTTCTCATGGATTCTATTGTCACAACTGGACTAGGTTTAAATGGGACCATTAGGGAAGCATCAGCTTTCAAATAGAAAACAAAATTTTAAAAAAATCTTTATCGGTTCACCCGGTGAATTGATAATTTCCTACTTTTTTGAAGTCGTTCAATTTTAAAGGTAGTCGTGGCAGGTGCATCTCTCCTTTTGCTCAGAAATAAAATTAGAAGAACGAAACTTGGGGTGCAAAGTGTTTGCCTGCCTGCCTGTCCTTATGGCTGGTTTTGCAGCAATTCAAGAACTCAATGCCCAAGGATAGAGCCAACTGTCCGAGCAACCATAACAACAACAACAACATAAATGCACTTTCTTCACCACACGGATTTGAACTCTTTCTCAGGCCCATCCTTGTGCTGTGCATGTCCGAATGCCGCACATGGCTCCGCCTGAAGAGTCAATAAAAACTCTCGATTGTAATTTTCCCTTAGCAATTATTGTCTCAGCTTTCAAATGCGGTAGGGCCTGGGCCCTCAATATCGACCAGAGCCAGCACCACCCCACTCCACCCCATCCCATCCAGCCCTGGGCCCAGATGTAATTTTCAATTTTTAGAGCCCGGCTCAGCAGTGAAAGAGATTCATTGGCCAACCACACTTGTTAATGCCACACGTTGATGGCCCAGTCCCTCCCCTACACTCCTACACCCCTACTCCCATGACCATGACATGGCATTCGGCATTCAGCGCAAGTGGCTTGGCTTACATTCGCTTTTTGTTGCTGTTGTTATTGTGTTGGCCATATCCTTAAAGCGCTTAAACGCAAAAAACACGAGTTTTTCATGTATTTTTAGCAGACAAATCTCATTAAAAGGCGTCGTCGTCGTCGTCTGGAGTTCGTGTCGCGCCCGCAAGGAAGTCTCGATCTTGTGGTTAACTTGACCCTTTTTGGTCTGCGGCCAACCACCAAGGCGTTGCATTTAAAATGTCGTTAATAATTTGTTGCTGTCCAGACCCTGAACGTTGCCGTCTGCTCTGCTGCTCGGCTGCTTTGCTGCTTTCTGTGCCATCATCATACCTTTTAGAGCTTGTCGTAAAAAAGTTTTATTATATTTTTGGTTGTGGATTAGTCTGCTGTTGCCGTTGCTTACGACTTGAACTTTCTTGTTGCCAACAAGAAGGCCGCTTTAATTTAAAAAACCCAGAAATATTACCCACAAACAAAGTGTTACACGCTTTTGAATGGAAACTTAACTACGTGGGCAACGCTCTATTAAAAAAAGGAACAGTTTCAATGTTAAAGTTTTAAGCTTAAATAAAAATTATTAGTATATATTTTTTATGAACTTATGTATATTTTTATCGTTTCCTATCCTATAAAATAATGAAACATTATTTCCAGCCCCCTTTATTGAATATTCAGCAGATTTGTATAAATTAAATAAATACATGGGAAAACTAATTGGAAAGAACTGCAAAAAAGAAAATGAATTAAATAAAATATTTGCTATTTCTCCCTTTTAAAACTTAATTCATTTTAAAATCAGACTGGTTTATAGTTTTATGAAGCGTTGAATAAGTTTTTCTTTACAATTATTTATTAAGAAACCAATTGGTTCAATGAGAATTGGATGAGTTTCATGTGACAATTGGTTGACAGTTGCATTAACAAATGAATTAACATTTTTATTTGCATTGAACTAACATTTTTACTAACAATTGCATTAAAGTTTGATTCGCCTTTGTACTAGCAAATGCAGTAACATGTTTGCTAACTAGAAGTTGTTATCTGAAAAAGCCCATTTTTCTTTTAAAACTAATACTCATATTGTAATGAAATGGTAGTACCTTCTGAAAATGTTTTATTTAAAATGATACCCATTCCTTGGTAAAAAACTGACGCCGAAGTAAAATAATAGTATATTCTCATTTATAAGAAAAATTAGGCCATAGAGAGTAGAGGAAAATACATAAGTTAAGAAAATAATATAGGAATTCATATTCTTTAAAGAAAAACAATTACTTCTACTAAATATTAAAACTAATAATAATAATGGTACAAAAATATTTAATAAGATTAATTTCTTATATTTATAATATTTTTTAACAACAGACCTTCTTTGAGGAAATAAATTAACATTTTAAAGTATGTCTTTCTCCATAGTAGCAACAATAAATTAACTCTCGCGCAAACACGTATTGTACAACTACTTCATTAAAGACATTTGGAAATCGGCATAATTTTATTTATGATTTTATAAATCAACACCCAGCCACCAACACCAGCTCTTTATAAAGTAGCCACACTCTAAAGTATCGTCAATAAACTAAGTACCTTGCCTTTTAATTTATGTTTATGGACCCGGCTCCACATCTTCCAATGATGATGTACTCTCGCAGTCTCGGTGGTTTTGCATACAAAAGCAGGCGAAAATTATAACATACGGAAAAAATTCTTTTTAAACATGAAGCGCGATGCCACCATAAAACGGCCGATAACCCGTGAGCACCTCAGCCGCGTGATGACCCAGGCTTGTAAAGTCAGAAAAAGGAGGAAGGCACGCTTTTGGCTCAGCAACGGCGATGGAATACTCTTTCAAAACTTGAAAGTTCTTAAGTTCTT